CTCATGTATTTTTAATTAAAGCCCTCTGATGTTTTTGTGGACAGAATCCCTTTATTTTTCATCACAAGGCATTTGTTGTGAAATATTTGCATGAACATGTTGTTGACAATGCAATGGCTTCCATGACTCCGTAAATGATCAGTGTACCAGCTTTAAATTGTGGAAATACAGTAGTTACAGCAGCAGGCAGCTCTGCAGCAGCAGCACCACAGCAACAACGCTGTCTGTCTGAGTACTGCACGTGTGAGCTGCAGCAGTTTAGTGAGGTAGCCGTTATGCGCTGCCCACGCGGGTAGTGTGGCCCAGACATCATCCATTCTTCTGATAACTTAAAGTTGCTCACCTTATTTCTGATCCAGACATTCAGGAGGTTTTCAGGACCTCGAGTGTGATATTGCTTTTAGGTAACAGTTCAACAACAGCTTAAACAGCAATGCTGAGTAAGAAAATGTTAACAAAAGGTGATGAAATAAATTATTTAAGTATGTTATGTAGCTCCACAAAAAAAACAGTTCCCCCTGTCTGTTGCCAGGCAACGCAGCACACATGCCAGGAACTCAATCAATCAATTTTATTTATAAAGCCCAATATCACAAATCACAATTTGCCTCACAGGGCTTTACAGCATACGACATCCCTCTGATGCAGTAATAGAATATGAGGGAGAGAGAGAAGGAGAGAAGGTGCCCGGTGTATTATAGGGGGGGTCCTCCGGCAGACTAGGCCTAAGTCAGCCTAACTAGGGGCTGGTACAGGGCAAGCCTGAGCCAGCCCTAACTTTAATTTAATTTTAATTTTATATACTTTATTAATCCCCGAGGGGAAATTCAATTTTTCACTCTGTTGTCAATTACACACAGGTCCAAACACACACATGCACAAACTGGACCTATACATGCACTAAGTGGAGAGATGTCAGAGTGGGCTGCCCATGACAGGCGCTCTGAGCGGTTGGGGGGTTCGGTGCCTTGCTCAGGGGCACCTCGGCAGTGCCCAGGAGGTGAACTGGCACCTCTCCAGCTACCAGTCCACGCTCCATATTTTTGGTCCAGACGGGGACTTGAACAGGCGACCCTCCGGTTCCCAACCCAAGTCCCTATGGACTGAGCTACTGCAGCCCCTAACTATAAGCTTTATCAAAGAGGAAAGTCTTAAGTTCTCCCTGTGTCAGCGTGGGTTCTCTCCGGGCACTCCGGATTCCTCCCACAGTCCAAAGACATGCAGATTGGGGACTAAGTTAATTGATAACTCTAAATTGTCCATAGGTGTGAATGTGAGTGTGAATGGTTGTTTGTGTCTATGTGTCAGCCCTGCGATAGTCTGGCGAACTGTCCAGGGTGTACCCTGCTTCTCGCCCGATGTCAGCTGGGATAGGCTCCAGCCCCCCCACGACCCTCAAGAGGATGAAGCGGTTAGAAGATGAATTAGAAGATGAATGAATGAATGAATGAATGAATGAAAGTCTTAAGTCTAGTCTTAAATGTGGAGACGGTGTCTGCCTCCCGGACCGTAACAGGAAGATGATTCCACAGGAGAGGAGCCTGTTAGCTGAAGGCTCTGGCTCCTGATCTACTTTTGGAGACTTTAGGAACTCACAAGCTACTTTGTATTTACGTTGATCTGCAACTGTGTAACTTTGTCCAGTTCAGCTGATGAAACGTTGGCAAACCTGGATGTTGGCACGGCCGGATTCAGCTTCCGCTCTCCCTCATCCTCATCAGTACCTCATCAGATGATCATTGATAATTCAGTTCAAACGATATAACAGCTTTGCTTTGATTTTATAGCCTATAGCCTAGTTTGCATCAATGTAGCGAGTGTGACAGTTGGTTATATAACACCTGTCAGCAGAGTGATTTTACTGTTACATGTCCCAGTGATGTTGTACTCTTATCAGCACTCATGGAATGCCTCTCGTCCAATCAAATTAGTTGGTCGGAACTAACTGTTGTATAATATTTCTGCCACACTGGACCTTTGAATTGTTACAGTGTGCTGGTTGTTGAGTTGAGGTAGGTTGCTACATTTAGTTTTTATTACATTAAGCAGCGAGTTGTGACAGGCTGCTATATTGACATACTGTTTGGAAACACCCTGGGCAATGACTGAAAAAACCCAAACCTGTCAATACTGAGTGAAAGCATGTTGAAATATACTGAGATAAATATTGGCCTGAATGGTATTGGATTACTTTTGTTTTACCAGATGTCATCAAGGCTCCAACTACAGGGGAGCCAGGGGGTGCTTAGCTCCTCGTAATAAGACACAAGCTCCCCTGAAAACATAATTTGTGAAGTGTTTTTTTTGTATCAGATCAGAAGAAAAAAACATTCTTGGTCTCACTAAGTCTGTGGGCTAATCGACATTTTTCATTTCTCTGTTTTGTAGTCAGTATACAGATTTATCAAAAAACAAGGAAGTTTATAGATTTAATACCCATACATTTTGTGTGTATACAGGCTGTTTTGCTATTTGACCTATCTTTGTTTTATTTGTGTGAATAAACCAGAGGATATAGTGAGATACATCACTGTCCCCTGCTGAAGTTGGTTATATTGCATCATACTGTGATGTTTGGTTTTGATACCCGTGTGGAGGTTTGATGTGTCATTAACTGATTATATATCAGATGTGCTGACATAAAGCAAATAGGCCTACATACTTGCAGCTATGAATATTTATTTGCAAGAGGAGTCACAGTCAGTGCTCTCTTACCCCTTTTCCACCAGCATGGAACTGTTTCTGTTCCAATTCCCACACCATTCTGAACCATTCGGAGCATTTTGATGAAAAATAAATTGGTTTGAAAAGTTGACTCTCTGCAGGTTTTTCTTGGCCTGTAGGGCAAACTGTTATGACATCAGTGTGCGTGTTATATGCTATGGGTTGGAAATAGAGGATAGAGAAGGCAACGATGAATAAGTTGAGTAAGAAATTATCGGAAAAAAACAGCATGCAGAGGTCTCATTATAAGTTGGACCGTGCTTGTTTTGGATATATAACAAAAATCTTAAGTATCAAGTGAATCTGGATCAAGTCATCACATCCCTGATTACAATGGATCTGATTGAAACTAACTTTAAGTGGGCTAGTTCGCAAGAAAGCATGAATACTTTGGTGGATAATGGGTATCTTTGAAGCAAGCGTGATCTCCAGCCCACCCTGCATTAAAAATCCACCAAGAGTGAGCTCCCCCAAAGTCATGGTGTAGTGTGCACACTGAATGACATATCATATTTGTCAACTGGCATCTAAATTTAAATTCCATAGCCCTTTGATGTGGTTGTTGAAATAGAAATAAACAACATGAAAAAAGTCCGCACACCATAGCTCCCATAAGTGCAATTAATTGGCACATCCACAAGTGGTGTTTAGAGCTGAATGCTCTTCTTCAGACTTTAAATACATATGCTAGGGTCACATGGTAGTCACGTGATGATACTACATTATCTAATTGCTACATAGATAGACATATTATGAATAAACAAAGATCATACAGTCAGTAACAGCAAGTAGCCTAAACAGTTACCAGTCCACCTATTCATCAGTGATTGTTACTGTTCATTATGATTGGTGTATTCAGAGGACCCCTGTTGTAATTGGTATGTCGATCCTCTCCCCTATGAGTAATGGTGGATTTTGTTAAGGTCTATCAACACATTCTCACTCTGACCTTGTCACATATTGACATTTGGTCATGGACTTTCCACGTCGACATATGATGTGCAAGGTACCTGGGTGCATTGGTTGTTGATGTTCTGGGACACCATGTCATCTTCAGCCTGTTCCATGCATTGTCTGTTTTCAAAATACACTTCTGTTTTCACAGGAAATGTAGAGTTTGCATACTGTCTCTTTCAAAATAAATGCACTACATTGGTACAACACTGCAAAGTGATGTTTTTTTCCTTCAACAACAAACACATGTGGTTACATTTAGCCAACATACACTCCTGGTTGGGTCTAGGAAAAAAGAGCAGGGTTTGGCTTTACAATTTTGCGGGAAGTGAACACTGGCCCCCCACGTGAAAGTCAGTGATTGTTGGACCCATCCACCACCCCTCTCACCTGCCCTACTCAGACTTCTACTGCCTTAACTTCCGTTGTCCTGCTGCATTTTCCCTTGATGTTGTTGGGCGCCATTAAACAATAACGGCAACCGGCCACGTATCATGGCAATGTGAAAGGATGGTTTTTTGACTGCGTCTGAAATCAGAAGTCACTGACCAAGCACCGGTTTTCGATGACTTTGGAGTGAGACTGGGTTGATCCTATAGTAGTATAGGGACATCCTATTTAATATAGAGGCGCATTTATTTGGATCTAGCCATAAAAGAAGTATGATGGCCTCTGGCCTTCTTATGTGCTCCAAGGTCTTCTCTCTATAAGAATGTACATGTGTTTTTCTTTACATACATTGATTTATCTCACTCATTTGTATATATTTTGTATCTATTTTTTGTAATTGTTTTTGCCGGAGCGCTCTGAACTCCTCAAGTTGAAAAAAATGGGATGATTTGAGAGGCAGACTTTCTGTGGTGGTCACAACAACAATGTTGGCAAACAATGGAGGAGAAACTGGTGGTAGTGGCTGCTGGATACCCAGAGCTACATGACTTTACAAACCCCAGGTACCACCATCTCAACAGAAAACAGCAGGTGTGGAAGCATGTAGCCTAAGTGTAATACTTGAAACGCGCCTTAAGTGGTTTTTGGATGTGTGCAGCTGCTATGTTTTCATGTTGTTGAAATGGAAGAAATATTCTCAAACACTGCCTGTTTAATTTGTTGTAGGCTGTGAAAAGTGTAATCACCAATCATGTCCTCCACCATAAGGTCACAAGTCAATTGTGAATTTGATGAACATGACATCCCTACAGGCCTAGCCTACTTGTTAAGATGGCTATCTTTTAGAGTGTTGGAGCCTGGAGGGCGGAACGGCTGGATGCAGCATGCGCGTGCAGCGGTAGAGGGATGACAGAGAGAGACAGAGCCAGCGATAGAGGAGAGAGAGAGAGAGGGAGAGAAAGAGAGAGAGAGAGAGAGAGAGAGAGAGAGATGAACAATATTCTGCCAATACAGATTTATCTCTTCTGCTCTAATTCACCGGCAACATAATAGCCCAGGTCGATATATCCTTCCTCTCTCTCTCCCCCTGTCCCTCTCTCTCCGCTCCTCTCTCCTCTCACTCTCTACCTCTCTCCACCACACACACATACACGCGCCGTCAGCTTGTATGCGTCCCTCCTCGAGCCAGCGGGTGGCCGCCTGGCTGCTCGCGCTGCCGTTGGGGAGAGGTGGAGAGGAATGCGCGCGCCGCGGCCGTCTGGAGATGATCTCGTTTTGGTTGCTGTGCTGGAAGCTGTTGGTAGGTAAATGAACAGATCAGCGACACACGTCAACGACGTCTTTACGTCTTTATAATAAACAACAACACCCTTCTCGGGGTTTATGTCGTGCGGTGGAGATTTGGGGACGTTTTTGGCGGCCACCATGTAGCCTATGCGTGAGGTGTATGCGCGAGGCTTTGGCTGAGCTGGAGCTACCATCAAAGTCCGATTTTCTTGGCTTCTGTATGTGCGATTATCTGTCACGATTTTGGTGCTTTGCCTGATTTTAGGATGCTGTCTTATGCAACATACTTGGCAGAAACGAATATTGTAGCAGAATATTATCATCAGAATGTAACCACACTGGATGACAAAGAATAGAATAGAGTAAAACAGAACAAAATGGAACACATGATTGAATACAACACCACAAAATAGAATAGAATGGAATCCTCATCTTCAAATTATTCACATGATGCCTAAAGCTGCTCTGTAATCCTCCCACACACACACACACACACACACACACACACACACACACACACGCACACAGAGGTGTCTGATTAAATGGTGTTGATGAGGCTGTCTCCAGCTGTTGGTAGTGGGTAAACTGAGGTTTGAGCCAGGCAAAGTAATTATGGTTTCTTTTTTTTTCTTTTTTTTTTTTTAAATCTGAAGTTCAAAAGGAAGTTAGATAGCAGGTTAGATAGCAATGATCCAAAAGGTCACTGTTTCACATCCAGGCAGACAGTGATCAGAAGCATGGATTAGAGCTGAGAGAGCTGCATTGCAACTAATAACTCTTCAGTCCTTCCCCCATATGTTCTGACATGATTGACTAACAGCAGAAGCATCTATGTACTGTCCATTCATCATTTAGGAACTATAACAAAGTTGTAAGTTGTTCTAACCTAACCTAACCTAACCTAACCTAACCTCAACCATGTATGTGGGAGATCAGAAAACACTCATAAGAATCATCTCTTCTTCAAAAACACTGATAAACTATGTCATCCTGGCGATAGGGATGCCAGATCAAAAAACATATGAATCTTTTTGGAACAGAGGAGCAAAGAACCTTATTTGTTGTCTTGGTATAACGATTTTTGGCATCGCAAATCTTGATTCTCCTGCTGCATGGCATGTTTCATTTGTCTGGTAGGTCATTTAGAACAAACTTGACAATGTCACGAGATGTAATTTTTTTCAAATTCAGAATTCAACCAAAAGCTTGCACCAGTGACTGGTGCTTTCATCATAGAAAGGGTCACAGGAAACACACATGATTGAATGATGAAGAGGACTGTCAATCTCTGGCTGTGTGATGTAAATAAAATAATGCTTGTTTAGAGAAAAAGTCTCTTGAGCCATGCCAGATCACACTTAACTGAGAGCTGGAGTTCCAGTGGTCATTGTTATTATACGAAACGAGCATGTGTTACTGTTGCAGAGGCATTACTAATTTTCATAAATGATTGAATTTAGTCCTCTGAAGCTGGGCTGTGTTCAGGATTCATTTTAGATATGTGTTTGTGAGTGTTTGTTAATATTTATTTATGGGTTAGAAAGTATTAATAGGAATGTTGTTATTTCATTTTTTGGCTGTTAAACTTCTATAGGCCTACATCTACTATCTCATCACACCAGTATAACTATCACCCAGCTCAGGAAGAATATGGAAAATGTCATCAATTTTTTTGCTGAATAATATGCAATTAATTTGATCTTTCTCCACACTGTGACTTAAGTCAAAGAGAACTGACTTTAGCAGCTTGCCTGCCTTTGCAGCTATACTTAGTGTTACCATAGCAACACTTCTCATCTGTCACCAGCACATGCCTGGAACGACAGACCATAATAATCTGCTAACCCACTCACTGCCAACGCATTGCCACCATGGTAACAATATGAAGGCTTGAGTTTAGCACATCACACATTTACAGGGTGTATACAGTTATATAATCTACTGTGTGTGTAGCCTACGGGTTTGGAAATATGTGACTTGGTTGAGTGTGTCTAGAAGTGCATATAACTTTATGTGTGTCAGGGGTCCATGGATGTAAGTTTAAAAAAGTCATTGTTATTTCTTCACTTTTCCATTTGTTGTCCACACAAAGCATTGTAGTAGATTACAAATTTGTCAGGCTGAATCATTATTTTGTCAATATGTGGCAGAGAGAAGCTTAATAAGACAATCTGTGTTAACATTTGCATGCTTATAAATTGATTTATGGAAGCCTATTTCTGCCGCAAAAAGACTCTGAGTCTAAATTACAACAAAAATAGGGTTGCACAATATGCAAAAAAATAAAATGAAATAAAATCATATTTCAATTATTTTGACAGATTTTGCAACTGTGATATGAGACCAGATAAAACAGAGTGTGTAATAAACATTGTAAGGTACATCAAGACTGTAAGTTACAATGTCAATATTTTGGACATTTTGACCTCAGAATTATTTGGGAAGTCTCAACTATAAAAGTATCTTCCAACAGGGATCTTCATTGTTTTTCAGGCCAAAGACCCCTTAGGTGAAAGAGACATGGGGCAGGGACCCCTACTACATATATACTATAAAATTGTATAGCACATTGAACCAAGCAGATGGAGATTGTCAGGCCTCAGTCTTGACCTGTGTTTGCTTTTCAGGCCGGTGAGGAAGGAAGCTCCACTTTCACAAAGATAGGCTATTGCAAAAGGCAAAACATGTTGGGCTCACATTAATGTATATTCTCAGACGTAGTTTAATTTTAAAAGAAAAAAAATCCCTTAAAAAAATGATCAAACAATAACTTGGATGCCCTCCTGCAGTAACTCTGAGGGGTCCCACACATCCTGCTGAACACGAGGTGTTCTCTCTCTCTCTCTCTCTCTCTCTCTCTCTCTCTCTCACTCTCATCCTATTACTGCATCTTGCTAACTCGGCCATTCTGGATGTCACTAACTCGGCTTCTTCTCCGGAGCCTTTGTGCTCCACTGTCTCTCAGAATAACTCATACCGCAGCGGTGCCTGGACAGTGTGACGTGTGTGGTTGTGCTGCTGCCGTGGTCCTGCCAGATGCCTCCTGCTGCTGCTGCCATCATTAGTCATTAGTCATACTTCTACTGTTATTATACACATATGACTATTGTCACACAAGTATACTGCCAGATATTAATACATACTTTCAACATATTGTACCACAGTAGCCAGAACTATAACTATAATATTATTACTTTCATTAATGTTGTTGTAAGCTACTGTCATTACCTGCATCTCTCTCTCTCTCTCTCTCTCTCTCTCTCTCTCTCTGTCTCATTGTGTCATACGGATTACTGTTAATTTATTATGCTGATCTGTTCTGTACGACATCTATTGCACGTCTGTCTGTCCTGGAAGAGGGATCCCTCCTCAGTTGCTCTTCCTGAGGTTTCTACCGTTTTTTTCCCCGTTAAAGGGTTTTTTTTGGGGAGTTTTTCCTTATCTGCTGCGAGGGTCTTAAGGACAGAGGGATGTCGTATGCTGTAAAGCCCTGTGAGGCAAATTGTGATTTGTGATATTGGGCTTTATAAATAAAATTGAAATTGAAATTATAATATTGGCTTAAAAAGTCACAACTGAGTTGAGTTTGAGTTTACCTCACTTTTGACTTACTATCTCATAGCTTTGATTTAGGATCTTACCATTTTGACTTGTCTCAGAATTCTGACTTAGTAATTACAAAAAATTGTATTCAATTTTGACTTCCTGTTCTTGATTTGACTTGAAAAGTCTAAATTGGGACTTAGTGTCTTACACATTTGTCTTTTTTTTTTTTTTTAGCTCATTCCTAAAATTTAAGCCAGCGATTTCTGCGTCAGATACCTATGCAAAAAGGCACCTTTTGTAATGGAATGGCATCGGCGTATAACCCAGCTGCACGCCATCAATGTGTAACACCTCAGATAACAACGTAACTTAAGGAGCTGAAAAGTCCTGGTGGGAGGGGAGGGCTGGTGGGAGGGGAGATGGATAGTTCCAACTAACCCTGGACTTTCACCCATGAAACCAGTGTATTGTGTCATACGGATTACTGTTAATTTATTATGTTGATCTGTTCTGTACGACATCTATTGCACGTCTGTCTGTCCTGGAAGAGGGATCCCTCCTCAGTTGCTCTTCCTGAGGTTTCTACCGTTTTTTTTCCCCGTTAAAGGGATTTTTTTTGGGGAGTTTTTCCTTATCCGCTGTGAGGGTCTTAAGGACAGAGGGATGTCGTATGCTGTAAAGCCCTGTGAGGCAAATTGTGATTTGTGATATTGGGCTTTATAAATAAAATTGAATTGAATTGAATTGTTCACCTCCTGTGTTAGTTTTAAGCCAAACCATGTTTTTTTCAAAACCTAAGAAGGTGCTTTTGTTACACAAGGACATAAGCATAAAAACACTGTGTTTAATTTTGAAAAAGACTGTATACATCTAATGAGCAGAAACTGTACATTTCCTGTGAAAACAGAAGTGAATTTTGAGAATGCACAATGTATGTAACAAGCATAAATTGACACGTCGTCCAGAACATAAACAGCATACGCAGGAGGCTACCTAGTGAGTAATATTTAGATGTGAAAGGCCACTGACAAAGTGGCAGTATTTGAGGAGTTTGGATGAGAACATACTGAACATTTCATCTTTTAAAAACAATTTTTTTTTGGCAGAAATGGACTTCCATACAAATATTGTATAAATAAAAACCAAAATGTTCAGAATGTTTTAATATTCAGGCTAGAATGAAGTTATCAGGTTATAATTATAAGGTTATAGGTATAATATAGGTTATATAATTAAGTGTTTGTGTCCACAGAGAGCAACAGCTGGGCTAAGGAGGGCCACAGCTGAGCTAACGGACGTCAACCACGAGAACAGCAGCTCTGGAAACAATAACCCCGTCAACAACTCTCCCACTCCTATACAGCCAACAGATCCAGTTGCCATGGAAATCAGTTCATCGCCACCACTAACAGACATGGAGAGAGAAAACTTGGTTAGCTGGCACAGTCAGGAAGTGGAGGAGCTCCATTACCCAGAGGTCCTTGGGGTGCAGCAGCCAATCAGGGACAAGCAGGAGGAAGATGAGGCTGCAGAGAAAGACAATGGAAAAAGAGATGGAGATGAGTGTGACTATCTTGTTTTTGAGATAGGAGAGAAGAAGGGAAGGGGTGAAGAAGACAGAAGTGAAGGACACACCACTGACAAAGGAGGAGAGGGAGAAGAAGATGGAGAAAGAGGAGAAACAGAAAGAAAAGAAGAAGGCAGTGGAGAAACAGAGAAGGATGAAGGAGGAAGAGGAGAAACAAAAGAAGAGAATGGATGGATTGGAAAGACAGCCAGAGGGATGAAAGATGATACTCTGTCAGAGCTCCTCTTCATCTCTGATAGCTCAGTGTGTCCTTCATCATCAGAGCCCCCGACTGTCACCTCAGATCCTTCGGAGCAACCTGCAGCAGCCGTGGTACATGAGACCTGGGGTCACGACCTCAGCAACAGAGATGATCTTAGCGACAGTCACCTTAGTGACTGTCTTCAAGCTGAATTGGCTATTGTGTACTCGGACAGCGAGGCAGGGGAGGATCAATGGGCAGCCTTCACATCCTGTGATGTCACTAACCAGGAAGAAGCAGGTGGCGGGATTCAGAATAGCATCTGTGATGGAGAGAGCAAGGAAGAGGAGAGAGGTGTGGATGATGAGGAGAGAGGGGTACAAAAGGATAAGGCAGAAGTAGAGACTGGACGGGAGGAGCTAGATGGGAGAAGAGGCAGGGATGATGATGAGGAACAAATGAGATCAAGGAGAGATCTTTTCCTGCGATCTCCTTCTGTCAGCTCCACAGCCAGCTCCACAGACCCAGACAGGAAGGTAGGATTTTCCCTCTTTTTATGTAACACTGAGCATTAACTTTGGTTCCAAGAAGTCTCAAATGTATCCTCCCCACACAAGAAGTTTGCACATACACTGATTATTACATAGCCTACTCTTTCCAACAATGAGATGAGAATTTAGATATCAATGTTATGCATTAAGATTATGCATTAAGAACTAAGACACCAATGCTGACCCTAATGTTGGATGCGGAAAAGGCATTCGACAGGGTGTCATGGCCTTTCCTGACCAAAGTCAGACTTTCATTAATCTGATAAAAGGAATATACAAAGAACCAACAGCAAGAGTAAGAGTAAATGGGACTTTATCTGACACACTGACTATAGGAAGGGGAACCAAACAAGGGGACCCCCTGTCACCACAACTTTTTTGTTTTATGTATAGAACCCTTAGCTGAGAGTACAATACAGAATATAGGGATAAGAGGACTTACCATAATAGAAGAAGAACAGAAAATTGCACTGTATGCTGATGATATAGTTATGTATATAACAGATATTTAAACTCTTTATCAGAGTTGTTAACCGAAATCACAGAATATAGCGCTTTATTAGGTTATAAGTTGAATTTGAACAAAACAGAAGCCATGTAAGTTAGACGATCTCATTAAAAAACAGTCTGAATTCAGATGGGACCAAGATGAAGTGAGATATCTGGGAGTGACTATTCCAAACAACCTGGATAATCTATATCATTGCAACTACGGGAAATTAGAAAAGTCAATAAAACAAGACATACACAGGTGGAAATATCTACCATTAACACTATGGGAAAAAATTAGTTCATTTAAAATGAATGTTTTACCACGTTTTCTATTTTTGTTCCAGAATCTACCCTTGTATATTACATGGGCTTCTTTCAAATACTGGGAGAACTTGTTGAGAAAACTTTGTATGGGATAGAAAGCAACCAAGAGTGAGGCTGACAATTATACAGCAAAAAAGAAATTAAGGGGGACTTGCCCTACCCAAACTAACTAACTATTTTTACACTGCACAAGCAAAATCAATTTTAATGATGATTGATAAAGAAATTACCCCCAAATGGAAAACACTAGAGAGTAAATTGGTGAGATCATTACATAGACTGATTTCTTCAAGTCAGATGAAAGCAAATTGCTTCACACTTAAAAATACAGTCAAGACCTGGAGAAGATTATTTAAAATAACAGATGTTTAAGACAGAGATCTAATTTGCCTGAGAAAAATACAAGACCCAAATACAAGACCCAGTCATTTGACAATGTAGCAAAAACATACAGTATATTTTTGCTACATTGTCAAATGACTCAATTCCTTTCTCACAGTACATTTGACAATAAATTGTTAGGCCTCTGTTGCCCCATATTTTGAAAGCATCATCTAACTTGCTTGGTATAAAGGATGGGTCTTGTATTTCTCTCAGGCAAATTAGATCTCTGTCTTTAACATCTGTTATTTTAAATAATCTTCTCCAGGTCTTGACTGTATTTTTAAGTGTGAAGCAATTTGCTTTCATCTGACTTGAATAAATCAGTCTATGTAATGATCCCACCAATTTACTCTCTAGTGTTTTCCATTTGGGGGTAATTTCTTTATCAATCATCATTAAAATTGATTTTGGCCTGTACTGTATCAACTCCCAAGTAATCACTTTTACAGGTACTTGCAAGTTAGAATTAGAATTAGATTACTGGACAACTTTACCAAATATTACAAGATAAGGAGATTAAAGACTTGAATGGTATCAAAGAGAATTGGGAGAAGGAATTGAAAATAAAAATCTCTGACAATGAATGGACGCAAAGCTTTAAAGACATTGTAGCTCATAAAAGATCCCCTTATTGGCAGGAATATGCATGGAAGATGAATTTAAGATATTTTATAACACCACAAATATCTCTGAAGTATGCACAAGCCAATACCAATTGTTGGAGGGATTGTGGGGTTAACAATGCAGATCATACACATATATTCTACACATGCAAGAGATTGCAAGAATACTGGACTGATGTCTTAAACATTCAAAACAACCAGATGCACTGACTCAGCTTTCCTAAGTCTTGACATCGAAGTGAAGTGAACAGGTATGGTACCACTGAACAATGACCTGTATCGAAACCTTCTGTCTCTCTGACTGTACCTGCCATAGCCAGTGGTGCTGCACAGAGGTGCTGGGTGGATTAGTAAATTATTTTTTACAGCATGTAATCCATGCTGACTGCTGTGCACTGGCCAATGTCTTCCCGACAGCAGGCCAGCTTTTAGGAAATATGGGCAGGGGGACAACATTTTCTGTAGTGGGCCCCTCATTCACACTCATCACAGTGGGGTTGGGTGCAAAATCACCATACATACCACTATGCAAAATGTATACTGCCTGTGAATATAATCAAATTAATTATATTTCAACATGTATTTTTTATCCACTCTGTGTTAAGACCTTATATTTTGAAAAGTAGAGGTAGTCACCTGTGTGTCCTGGGCTGAAAAAAATGCCCTCCAAGAATGGTCATAGAAAATTCAAATCAGACACTGACTGAAGAAATTACTGCAAGGTATTAAATCATAAGATCAAATCATGAGTGAAAAACAGCCCTAATATTTTTTCTTCATTTATTTATTCTATCTTGAGGGCTACTTAAATCAAATATTTGTTAAATTATGTGCTGAACTGAAACAGTGTAAAGAATATATGGTTGTCAACTCTCAGTTTTTCAATCAAACCCAATTTATGCAATTTCAAGACTGTTTAGGGACTCCAGTATGCAGAAATATTTAAATACACCATTTTTTTTAAAAAGAGGCAATATTCCCTTTTCCCTCACCAAAATTTAGCATAACTGGAGTGTCATTTGAACTTATTTTCAACAAGATATGATAACATGGTTGGTCCCAATGGATGCCTCAAGCTCTCTAGTTTGTTATGATACCAGTGTTTTCACTGTAGCTTTAAAACTGAACCTTATACGGCAGATTGTATTTGCCAACATTAGTCTGCCTCACTTCTCACCATCAGCTCTGCTTGTCATACCTGCTGCTTCCTCACATTTTTTATTTTTTTTTTCATAGACATTTGTCCATTGTTCTCTGCTTCTTTCATTGTCTTGTTTTTTCTGTACTCTGGCTTTTTTTTATGAGTCCCTGATTTTTTGGTGAGGCATTCTGACTTTGTTAGTCAGACTGCAGTCCATCTCACATGTTTACATTAACAGCGCTTGTGATTTCTGTGTATCACACACCTGACCCCTTCTGTCAGATGGACTAAACCATTTCACAATACCTGCGGGGAGTGGGGGTATCAGATAGCACTTTGAAATGTGTTTTTTTTTATTATGCAAATCTTGGCAAAATTCTGTCTGTCAGACAGCATCATCGCAATATGTGAATCCTCCAATGTATGAATTCAGTCTCCGAACCTGCAGAAGTGTGATGTGTTCAATTTCAAATGAATGTTGAATTTGGTGTTGGCCTATCTTAAAGGTCATTTTTATGATTCTCTTCATTAGTTATTCTTTGTATCTGATTGAGCAGATTGATTGTTTCGATCTTTGCAGGGGTGGTTATGGGTCCTGGTTGTGTGTGTGTGTGTGTGTGTGTGTGTGTGTGTGTTAGTATGTGTGTGTGTATGCTAATATAAGTTTTTGTGGTTCTTGTGGTTCTTTGTCATTGGTGTATTCGTATTGTTTTTGTGTCTTGTATTAATGTTTGTTTTCTTGTGTTTTTTTTTTTTGTTTGTTTTTAAAAAAGGAAAAAATGGCCAATAAAAAATTGATCACAAAAAAGAATTCAGTCTCCATTTTAATGTACATATGTCAACATTTTTCTATGGTGGGACCCCTCAAATGTCCATTCAAAGTTTCGATCACCTATATGTTTATTAACCTAATCCTGAACCTCATTATCCTGTCAGGTTCCTGTAGATTTCTGTGTCCAACAAGAAACCCACAGTAAAAATGTCTCCACTGAGCATGTGGACTTTCTGTTGGCCTGCCAGCAGTGGAGGAAAATGGAGGAGGAGGTCAAAGGTCAGCCAATTCCCAAACCAGGGCTCAGAGCTCAGGGGAGTTTCCAGGGAACCCACACTGCACTGTACCCCCCCACTCGCAGCCCCCGACTCAAACACAGGTAGGAAATAGGAAATGGAGGTAGGTTATTGACTGTCTTATCAGAGAATATGCTGTAGAGCTGAAACAACTGGTTAATTAAGCAGGTAACTGATTAGCGAAAAATATTTGACAACTGTTTAAACAATTGCTTAAAGGGATAGTGCACCCAAAAATGAAAATTCAGCCATACTCAGCCATATGCCGAGGGAGGCTCAGGTGAAGTTTTAGAGTCCTCACATCCCTTGCGGAGATGGGGCTAGCAACAAAACTCCACCTAATGGAGGCTGGGCGCCCCAGATTAAGTCATTAATTGAGAGCAAAACCAGGACATATTCTCTGGTTTCAGCTCTGTAACTTATTTATTTTTTATTTATTTGTTTATTTATCAGGGACAATGCATATTAATGAACAGTGAACTGTAAATATGCCGGAATCATCCAAAAGGCTAGTTTTCATCTGCGGTCCCTGGCCAGATCTGAGCTGGCAGCCTAAGTAATAAAAAAGTTAGAACAAGTTTAAAACAATATCATTGCATGCATTGCCTTATATACACACTGTGAGGTTCAGCTGCTTTTGTTGGCTTAATGAGATAGTAGAGTGAATATCTTTGGGTGTTGGACTATTGCTCAGAAAATGCAACATGTATGTTTTTGGGCTTTAGGAAATTATAATGGGCCTCTTTTTCTCTTTTCTAAGATTTTTGTTTAAACCATCAGCAGATTAATGGATAATGAAAATAATTATTTGCCAACCTTAAATGCTGACATTTCTCCCTAAACACAAGAAAAAGTCATTGTATGTCAGACATGTTGTCTGTTTCATTCACCTGTTTAATGGACATTTGAAATTTGAGTGAAAAGGCCCAAAATTAGAAGAACCCCCCCCCCTCCAATAATATTACCAAAAAAATGCACAAAGTTGTGAGGTTGGCATATCAAACAATAATATGTTGTAAGCCTGATGGAAACATTTTTTCAAATATGCCATGATGTTGTTAGCCTGGTAAGACCATCCTATTGATGTGAGCTCAACATTCTGTTTCACTCGCTGTATCGGTCTGGACTCAGTGCCGCTCCAAACACTTGCAGCCACCATTTTTTTTACCATTTGTATGTGATATGTATCTCATCACCAACAATCTCTGTGAGGTTTTCATGATACACTGGCATATTTTGTCATTTCTCATTCAGCAACCAAGTGTCTGGACTACTGAATACCAGCTGGCAGTGTCCTTGTTGTGTATCCGAAGCATTGCGAACACTAATCTGCGTGGCCATAATCCCCAGCTTTGAAGCCTCTCCTATCTTGTCTTCCATTAGTGCAGTCAGTTAGTGAAAACATATTTACCTCTGGAAAACTCGGCGAGTGCATACTCTTGTTCTTGTTTGATTATTGTTATTGACTCTATTTCTACAATAACTTCACTTACTGCTGTGTTTACTCTGCTAATGTTAGAGTTGGCGTTTGTTGCTTCGGGAGCGGCCATTACTGTTCTGCAAGCTGTGGCCTGCATTTTACGTCATCAACTACAGCGCAGTCCCTGATTGGCTGCTTACATTGTCAATTACGGTGCAGATCCCTGATTGGCCCAGATTGGATTTTAATGTCTGGAAAGTGTTTGGGGGGGCACTGAGTCCATACTGATACAGATAGTAAAACAAAATGTTGAGCTCATGTCATCAGGATGGTCTTACCAGGTTATGATGTTACCATACCTGTCTCTGCTTGTTCTGGTGTATCAGCAGAATAAACTGCATGAATAAGATTGGATGGTACTAGTCAGGTCAACCTGATCTCACAGAAATACGTGAAATGACCACGACCTCTTAACACCGCATTCCGTGGTGGCAGCACGTAATGGGTTGAAATTACGTGCCGGTACCACGGAAACAATGCCAATGTAAAGTCAATTAGGATCCATTGTCGTGGTGTCCACACGGATTCCCTGATTCAACAACGTCCTGTATACACACAAAAATACGAAAGTGTTCTTGATATTAAAACAGCAAATATATTCCTCTGTTATAATTTCCCACCAATAATAGTTAGTAGTTAACAGATAGTTCGGCTGTACTAGATATTTGATATATTCAGTAGATTTACTTTTTTATGACACTATTTGACAACTCTACAACTGGAGTCCCAAAAACGCCATTTCTAGAGAACTTGCTAAAATATCTGAAATTAACCATCATCCTTACTTTTTCTTAACATATTTTATCTAGGTGCAGTGTCATTAGTAGTTCGGCTTTACTAGACATTTGATATATTCAGTAGATGTATCTTTTTACGACTCTATTACAACAAGCTGCAAAAAACTACGATTCCAAAAACGCCGTCTCTTGAGTACTATCTAAAATATCTGAAATTAGCCAACATCCTTACTTTTTCTTAACATAGTTCATCTAGGTGCAGTGTCATTACTAGTTCGGCTTTACTAGATATTATATATATTCAGTAGATCTATCTTTTTATGACCCTATTTTACAACTCTATTTTACAAGCTGCAAAAACCTACCATCCCAAAAACGCCGTTTCTAGTGTATTAGCTAAAATATTGAAAATTAACCAACAATCTTTACTTTTTCTTAACATAGTTCATCTAGGTGCAATGTAATTACTAATTCAGCTTTACTAGATATTAGATATATTGGGTAGATATATCTTTTTACAACCCTATTTAGAACCCTACTTTGCAAATCAGAAGAACTACAACTATGTTGCTAATATGTATCAAACTGCATGGTGCGGTCCTAGGGAATTGTAGTTTTTGGAAAATGTAAGTGTTTTTCCTAGATTTGGAATTGAGAGTACACTGTGGACTTTAAGGGTATGGTAAACACATTTGTGTAATCAGATTTTAAATATCTAACTTCTAAATGGGTGAAAATTATTTTTATCCATATTTTACCCATATCTGACAGCACCCCCAGTTGTTGACTACACTCACATGATAGTTGAAGTCAAGAACTCTCTATAACAGTTGGTCCCATGTCTGTACCCCCTTTTGTTGCTGAGTTATACACCTTCAAACATGCACTGAGGTCAAGGTTCAAAGGTGAATGGCTCAAAACAGGAGCCATGTAGAATCTTCATACTGACATATGTCACTCTCCAGGTTGAGACCTTTCCAATGATGTATTTGGTTTAGCTCTACGACAAAGATTTGATTTTTTTTTCATTTTTTGGACACAAGTCATGCCAGGTGTAGTTTCAGAGAGCACTCTGAAGGCCCAGTGTATAAAATGATTTTTGTTTTTTTTCTTTTTTACTGTACGCAGTTACTAAAATGAGTCATCCTCAGAGAATACAATACTACTAAAAAGTAAACCAATAATAACAATAATGAAATAAGCAAAAATAATACTAAAATTATATTGAAATTTTAAAATCTATTTACAGAGTGGAATGGTAGCCTAATAGATAACTTAGATACTATTTATTATTGTTTAGACACTTTATTATTGCTTAGATACTATTTAGCCTATTATTGCTTAGATACTATTAAGCCTATTATTGTATTTACTTTTAGCATGCTCTAATTTTATCTACTGTAGGCTATATGTTTTAATTTATTTAATAACAAATTTATTTTATGTTAGGCCTACATCTTAATATTTTATGTCATTTATCATAGTTTAGTTCTTAACTCCAGTGTTTCCTCAGTGGGAGCAGTGTGCGCCAGGGGGCGGCTGCTGGTTCTGTGGCACTGGCTTGGGGTCCACTCTCCCCTGGTGGAGTGGAGAGTGGCCAGGTTGCCGCCTCCTGATGCAGACGGCTCCATGTGATGGTGTTTCCTCTCTGGTTCTTCCATGCTCAGCCTTATTTTTTTTTCTTATTTATTTATTTATTTATTTATTTATTAGTGGCGTTTGGATTTGGTTACGGCAGACGGACGACAATTTGAAATGGAATGAACAGTAGCTGCAAAACAGTAGTGGAACGCGCCCACAGCACAATGCTCTTAAAGCCCTACGCTATCAAAAGCTGGCAAAATACATTTATTGTATTTTATGGCCTTGACATTAACCTGTCATATTGTTGAGTTATCAAGGACACTTTTGTGTTTTTGTGTGTATACAGGAATGTTAAAGATATCATTGAGGAAAACGAGGTTGACGTGACGTTGTTGAATCAGGGAATCCGTGTGGACACCACGTCAATGGATCCTAATTGACTTTACATTGGCATTGTTTCTGTGGTACCGGCATGCACGCAGATGGCACTGGGGATGGGGGAGACGTGTCCCCCCAGATTTATAGTGACCCCGATCCGTCCCCCCCACTGCTAGCCTGGTTCCAGACCATAGACCCCGCCCACTCAACTGAGTAGGCTTGCATCTCTAGTCTGGCATACTGCAATGAATTTGCGATTTATCTCGTCCAAACGATGGACAGACCAATGAACGCCGGGAGTGGGGGCAGGTCTAGCGATTAGCCAATCAGCGCCACGCTGATGTCAAGCTGTACGCTGGTGGGTAACTGGTGAGGATAGCAACAATGGCGACCACTACAGATCCTACAGACCACATTGACGATGCTATCGAGGTATTTCGCCACTACTCGCGTTAATGGAGGATCAAATTAAGGAAGCTGCTAAACTGGATTTAACGGCGATGCAGCTGGGCGTGCACGACGACGGAGACATTTTAAACGGGCAATGCTCACTTGTTTTCGGCACACCCGAGGCATGGATACTAATGACGTCAGATTCTGGGTGAGTCGTTGATCTCTACTGATTGGTTAGGGAAAAATCAAATTCCCTCTCCCTTGTAAATCGCCTTCAATGGAGGCAATGTCAGACTGAAGGTTCTGAGAGCTTCAGTCTGACACTCAGGCTACCCCACTGCCCCCCCCACACATAGGTGAAAAAGAGGATCAATATTCTGTTAGTTAGGCTAACTAACGCATTGCAGCACAAAGTTGAAATTGCAGCGGCAGTAGCCTTGTCAGTGATCAATCCACATTACACTGATTCAAGAAGGGGAAAGGCTGGAGTAGATCCTTGCTGAGCTGGGAA